AGTAAAGATGCACACTTGAAAAGGAAGAAAAGTGTGGACGTGCTCCAGAGAGAGCCCCTCCTGGGTCTTTTTTCTTGAGAGTTCTTATTTGTTTTCTAAAGGTGGGACTTTTAGGGAGATCTTAGAGCAGTGGTTCTCAACCTTCCTAATGCCGCGACCCTTTAATACAGTTCCTCATGTTGTGGTGACCCCCAATTTCATTGTTACAAATTGAACATAATTAAAGCATAGTGATTAATCACAAAAACAATATGTAATTATATATGTGTTTTCCGATGGTCTTAGGCAACCCCTGTGAAAGGGTCGTTCGACCCCCAAAGGGGTCGCGACCCACAGGTTGAGAACCGCTGTCTTAGAGGAAGATCTCAATAGAATATTTATCAGCATTATGCTGATTCACCAAAATGAGATTTATTCCCCTGACCTCATTCCTCCTTGGGTGTGGTTGGCACAAATGGCATTGGTTGGATTTCTGTTATCTATCTCCCTGAGTTGGGTAATTTAAGCTGTTTACCCTCTGGTTGGAGAGAAGTGTAAACCATTTACTCTTCTTCCCCCCCCCCCATTTTTATTGAATTTATTGGGGTGACATTGGTTAATAAAATGATATAGGTTTCAGGTGTACAATTCTATAATATGTCATCTGTATATTGTATTGTGGGTTCACTGCCCTAAGTCAAGTCTCCTTCCATCACCATTTATCCCCCTATACCTACTTCTATCTCCCCCATCCCCTTTTCCCTCTGATAATCACCACACTGCTGTCTGTGTCCATGAGGTTGTGTTTTTTCCCCTCACCCAAGGATATGTTTTTGTTTTATTTTTTAAATATTTTATATGACTTCAGAGAGAGGGAGAGAGAGAAAGAGAAAGAAACACCAATCAGTTGCCTCCTTCATGCACCCGGACAGGGGATAACCTGCAACCTAGCTGTGTGCCCTGACTAGGATTTGAACTCACAACCTTTTGGTGTATGGGACAATGCTCCAACTAACTGAGCCACCCAGCCAGGGCCCATTTACTCTTAAGTGTTCTTGGTTAGGGAAGATAGGATTTTGTAATTTACTAGATGGCTGTAAACTGCTTGGTCATTTAACTATCTGTCTCAGTTTCCCTTTTCCACTTGTGTTGGCTTACTAATCTGTCTCACTAGAATGCTGTACACATTTAAATGGAATGGGGAGAGGAGGTGACTCACAGATACTAGCGGTCAACCTGGTTTATACCATCTGATCCATTAGGAATTTATTCTGGAATCCAGTTAGCTGGGGGGCTAACTCAATTTTTTCCCCAGTTAATTAACACAGCAATTCTCAGCACTATTGACATTTGGGCCCAGATAAGTCTTTGGTGAAGGGAGGAGAGAGACCGTCCTATGCACTGTAGATGTCTAGCACCATCCACCCGCTAGATGCCAATAGCACACACACAACTGCCACCAGACATGGCAACCAAAAGTGTCTCCAGATATTGCCAAGTGTCCTCTGGAAGGCAAATCGCCCCCATTTAAGAACCACTGGTTAAAACTAGAGGCCATTGGTGAATGTGAAGGACCAGCCATATGGCTGAAGTGGCTGACTCAATGGCGGGAAGCCCTAGGAGGCAAGGATGGGGGTTTCTGGATGGCAGAACTGGAGGCTGCCATCAAAAAGGAGTCTGGCCCTGCTGGTGTGACTCGGTGGTTGAGCATCAACCTATGAACCAGGAGGTCACCGTTTGATTCCTGGTCAGGGCACATGTCCAGGTTTTGGGCTCGATCCCCAGTAGGGGCTGTGCAGGAGGCAGCCAATCTATGATTCTCTGTCATCGTTGATGTTTCTATCACTCTCTCTCTCTCCCTTCCTCCCTGAAATCAATAAAAATATTTTTTAAAAGCTTCTGTACAGCAAAAGAGACCATCAAAAAAAAATGAAAAGGGAGCCCACAGTATGGGAAAACATATTTGGCAATGATACATCTGATGAAGGGTTAATATCCAAAATATACAATGAACTCATACAACTTAACAAAAGGAAGACAATCCAATTAAAAAAATGGGCAAAGGACCTAAATAGACACTTCTCCAAAGGGGATATACAGAGGCCAAGAGATATATGAAAAATGCTCAAAGGCACCGATCATCAGAGAGATGCAAATTAGAACAACAATGAGGTATTACCTCAAACCTATCAGAATGGCTACCATCAACAAATCAACAAATGACAAATGCTGGCGAGGATGTGGAGAAAAGGGAACCCTAGTACACTGCTGGTGGGAATGCAGACTGGTGCAGCCATTATGGAAAACAGTATGGAGTTTCCTCAAAAAATTAAATATGGAACTGCCATTTGACCCAGTGATCACACTTCTAAGAATATACCCTAAGAAACCTAAAACACCAATCAGAAAGAATGTATGCACCCCTATGTTCATAGTAGTGCAATTTACAATAGTTAAGATCTGGAAACAGCCCAAGTGCCCATCAGCAGATGAGTGGATAAAAAAACTGTAGTACATTTACACCATGGAATACTATGCAGCAGTAAAAAGGATCGCTTACCCTTTGAGACAGTGTGGAGGGACTTGGAGAGCATTATGCTAAGCGAAATAAGCCAGTCAGAGAAAGACAAGTATCACATGATCTCACTCATATGTGGAATCTAATGAACAAAATAAACTGATGGACAAAATAGATCCAGAGACATAGAAGCATGAAACAGACTATCAAATCTCAGAGGGAAGGAAGGGGTGGGTGGGAAGAGAGCAACCAAAGAACTTGTATGCATACATGCATAACTCATAGAGACAGATAAGACGGTGGTGAAGGCAGGGGCAGGGGCGTGCTAGAAGGGGTGAATAGGGGATAGGAAGACATATGTAATACTTTCAACAATAAAGATTTAAAAATAATAACAATAATAATTTTTGAAAAGGGGTCTGGCCCTAGCCGGTTTGGCTCACTGGTTAGAGTGTCGGCCCATGGACTGAAGGGTTGCAGGTTCAATTCCGTCAAGGGCATGTACCTCAGTTGCAGGCTTGATCCCTACACCGGCAGGACACATGCGGGAGGCACCAAGGGATATATCTCTCATATCAATGTTTCTTCCTCTCCCCCTCCCTTCCACTCTATAAAAATCATATCCTCCATGAGGATTAACAAAAGAAAAAAAAGAGATCTGGCCTTCACTTAAGGGACATCACAGGAAGTTTTGTACTGCCCCTGATAATAATTGTAATACTAATAGCTACAATTTATTGTTTACTCTGTGTGAGGGGAAACCGGGGCCATCTTACTCACTGGGCCATCGCATCTGACTTTCCCCACGAGACTGGGGGGTGGGTATTCCTGACTGCCTGTCTGGCAGATGAGAAAATTCAGCCACAGAGGCAAAGCTGCCCAGGCAAGGTCATATGGCCAACAGGAAATGTGAAAGGTAGGGTACTAGCTTGTAATAAATTATAACACTGGAGCAGAGAGGTGCCCATCTGAAGAAAGCAAAGCAGTCCCCAAAGCTCACCGTTCCCCCTCCCCCTTGAAATTCAGCTCTAAGTCTTAATCCCTGAAGTTCCAACCCGGTCAAGGCTAGGGTGACCCCACCTGCTACAAACCCAAGGCCCAGCAGAAGTGTCCAGGGGGAGCGCAAGCCTCCATCAGCTTCCACAAACACTCCCAGGAAACATGGAAGGAAAATCTGTTTTTACTGACTATGCAGCTTCAAGTCCTCCAAGAACCTATCGCCCTCCCCCTCTCCAAGACAAATCGCAACTCGGGAGCCACCAGTTTGACCCCACAAGAAGTCCTCCCAGTAATTAAAGGGTTCTAGGAAGGGTACCTACAAGGAATGGTTCAGACAGAGAAACTGAGGCAGGGCCTCCCGGGCCCGGGTGGGGAGGGTGGGGGTGGAAAACAGGATGTCTCCATGCTTGTTTACCCGGCCTCTCCCTTCCCCCGCCCAATCTCTGCAAAACGCGAGTCGCCAGACCAGGCTGGGGGCGGGGAGCGGGGGGAGTAGAAGATGCTGATAGCGCCTGACGGGTCTCCCAGCCAAGGTTAGCCAGCCAATGAGGGGACAAATCAATCATTTGAAACACCCAATGGGCTGAGCGCCGCAGCGCGATGGGGGGTCCTGCGCTAGCGAGAGCAGGGGCCTCGCCTGGCCAATAAACAGCGAGCGGAGTTGAGGAGGCGGGCGTTAGGCGGCTCGATTGACGGGGCTGCAGTCAATCAAACGAGGCCACTGGCCAGCCTCGTTCTGGCAGCCCAATAGGAAGCTGGAGGAGGCGGGCGCTACGGGTATATAAACGGCGGCGGAGCGTCGGTTGTAGCATTCTGCGCGCCCGCTGCTCGGCTCTTGCTTCTGTCTTTCCATCCGCGCCGCCGCCACCATGCGCGAGATCGTGCACCTGCAGGCCGGCCAGTGCGGCAACCAGATTGGGGCCAAGGTGCGCGGGGAACCGGGCCCCCGGAGGTGGCTGAGCCTAGTGGAGCGGGGCCCTTGAACTCCGCGGAGCTCCCCGACCTTGGGCCTTTTGGCCAACGGGGTCTCCAGGAGGCCAGCACCCCAGGGACGGTGAGGGAGGGGGCGCGGGGGCTGGACCAGGCTGGGAACAAAGAGGCCAATGGGGGTGGGGACCAGCCTTCTGTCTGCTGGCCACAGCTGGCTTCACAGCTGGCCCACTGTCCCCTGCACACGCACAAAGAGTCCCAGACTCTCGCGCTGGCTGCAGCCAGGGTGCACTGACACCAGCAGTCTTGGCTGGCGACTCTGCTTCACCCTGCCCCCACCTCTCCCTTCTTGCTGTTTCATCCCTGCCTCCCCACCATGCCTTTAGGGCCCCCGTTCACCTTGCTGGGGGACAGGTGGCAGCCAGGGAGGTGGTTGGCGGTCCTGAGCCCAGAAGATGGAGGTCAGGGAAGGCTTAGATCCCCTCTCCCTCTCTACTGGTTCTTACCCCACCACCACCACCCCTCTAGTTCTGGGAGGTGATCAGTGACGAGCATGGCATCGACCCCACGGGCACATATCATGGGGACAGCGACCTGCAGCTGGAGAGAATCAACGTATACTACAATGAGGCCACAGGTAGGATGCAGGGGCACCTTCTGGAGTGGGGGTGGGAAGGACGTGGGGGGACTGCACGCTGGTTCCTGGCGCTCACCCCAGCTGACCTCCATCTGCTTCCCGGCAGGAGGAAATTACGTGCCCAGAGCCGTGCTGGTGGACCTGGAGCCAGGCACCATGGACTCCGTCCGCTCCGGCCCCTTTGGCCAGATCTTCCGGCCTGACAACTTTGTGTTCGGTGAGTGCCAGGCATGGAGTACAGGCAGGGAAGCCTCCTCACTCCTTTCACTTCCAAATGCTTAGTGAAAACTCACCACCACAGGCCCCACAGCCCAGGGCGGGGAGGCGGAGAGGGCAGTCATGGCTGTGTTGGCGACAGCCGGGCGACTGTGGGAGCCCAGGGGAGGCATCTGATACAGTGGCAGGGGTGGGTGGGGGTGGGTAAGGAAGGCTTCCTGCATGAAAACCCCAGCTCTGCCACTTCATGCATTCTACACGTATTTATTGAGCACCTACTGCATGCGGGTCCTACTATATACATGATAACACATGAGAACAAAACAGACAAAGCTCTCTTCTCCCCTGGAGCTGGCACCCTGGTGGACTGAGGGAGGATGGCAATATAAGCAAGTAAAGCTCAGGCACTGATCCAGTCAGCTGGGTGACTCTGGGCAGTCTCTCTGTGCTCATCTCCTCATCTTTAAAATAGGGACAAAAAATCTACTTCACAGGCTTGTGTGGCTCAAAGCCATTAATATGTGTAAAGGATTTAGTCCTAACCGGTTTGGGGGTGGGTGGGGGTAGGTAGGGAAGGCTTCCTGCATGAAAACCCCGGCTCTGCCACTTCATGCATTCTACACATATTTATTGAGCACCTACTGCGTGCGGGTCCTACTGTATCCCCAGGGGGGATACACATGAGAACAAAATAGACAAAGCTCTCTTCTTCCCTGGAGCTGGCACCCTGGTGGACGGAGGGAGGATGGCAATATAAGCAAGTAAAGCTCAGGTACTGATCCAGTCAGCTGGGTGACTCTGGGCAGTCTCTCTGTGCTCATCTCCTCATCTTTAAAATAGGGACAAAAAATCTACTTCACAGGCTTGTGTGGCTCAAAGCCATTAATATGTGTAAAGGATTTAGTCCTAACCGGTTTGGCTCAGTGGATAGAGGGTTGGCCTGCGGACTCAAGGGTCCCAGGTTCGATTCTGGTCAAGGGCATGTACCTTGGTTGAGGGCACATCCCCAGTAGGAGGTGTGCAGGAGGCAGCTGATCGATGTTTCTCTCCCATCAATGTTTCTAACTCTCTATCCCTCTCCCTTCCTCTCTGTAAAAAAATCAATAAAATATATTTTTAAAATATATATGTGTAAAGGATTTAGAACAATGCCTAGCACCGAGAAAAAGGTAAATAAAGCACTTGTTGTTTTCACGATCATTATTGTTATTAATGCCTGCGGCCTAAAAGATGATTAGGGCATGGAAAGGCAGGAAGGATGTACAAGACAGAGGGAACAGCTGAAGGGAGGGGCAAGGATGGAAGCAGCGAGAACAATGAATAATCATCACAACAAAATTGTAATAATTTGTTATCTATAATAATAATTTTGTCATTATTGTTCAACCACTAGGATGGCTGGGGGAGGGGCTGGGGAGGTTCTTCCCACAACGGCCCTTGTGTCCCGTTCCCTTCCCTCTCAGGCCAGTCCGGAGCCGGCAACAACTGGGCCAAGGGCCACTACACGGAGGGCGCGGAGCTGGTCGATGCCGTCCTGGACGTGGTCCGAAAGGAGGCTGAGAGCTGTGACTGCCTGCAGGGCTTCCAGCTGACCCACTCGCTGGGCGGGGGTACGGGATCCGGGATGGGCACGCTGCTCATCAGCAAGATCCGGGAGGAGTTCCCCGACCGCATCATGAACACCTTCAGCGTGGTGCCCTCGCCCAAGGTGTCGGACACGGTGGTGGAGCCCTACAACGCCACGCTGTCCGTGCACCAGCTGGTGGAGAACACAGATGAGACCTACTGCATCGACAACGAGGCCCTGTACGACATCTGCTTCCGCACCCTGAAACTGACCACGCCCACGTACGGGGACCTCAACCACCTGGTGTCCGCCACCATGAGCGGGGTGACCACCTGCCTGCGCTTCCCCGGCCAGCTGAACGCGGACCTGCGCAAGCTGGCCGTGAACATGGTGCCCTTCCCCCGCCTGCACTTCTTCATGCCCGGCTTCGCGCCGCTGACCAGCCGGGGCAGCCAGCAGTACCGCGCCCTGACGGTGCCCGAGCTCACCCAGCAGATGTTCGACGCCAAGAACATGATGGCCGCGTGCGACCCGCGCCACGGCCGCTACCTGACGGTGGCCGCCGTGTTCCGGGGCCGCATGTCCATGAAGGAGGTGGACGAGCAGATGCTGAGCGTGCAGAGCAAGAACAGCAGCTACTTCGTCGAGTGGATCCCCAACAACGTGAAGACGGCCGTGTGCGACATCCCGCCGCGGGGCCTCAAGATGTCGGCCACCTTCATCGGCAACAGCACGGCCATCCAGGAGCTGTTCAAGCGCATCTCGGAGCAGTTCACGGCCATGTTCCGGCGCAAGGCCTTCCTGCACTGGTACACGGGCGAGGGCATGGACGAGATGGAGTTCACCGAGGCCGAGAGCAACATGAACGACCTGGTGTCCGAGTACCAGCAGTACCAGGACGCCACGGCCGAGGAGGGCGAGTTTGAGGAGGAGGCCGAGGAGGAGGTGGCCTAGACCATCTCATTCGTTCACCCCTGTCTGCCCCCACCCCCGCTGGGCTGCTCACCTTTGACCCCTTAGAGCTCCTGTTGGGCCCCTGAGAACCCTGCAGCACCACCAAGCCTGACTCAGCTCTGACCCTCTGACCCTACAACCTTGACTTCTCCCCTGACCTCAGCTGACCTTCGACCCCTGAGCCCCACTTTGGCCCACATTTAACTCCATGAACCCTGTTTCTCCATGACCTCTCCTTCACCTATGACCTTACCCACCACTCCAATGCACTCCCAGACAAATAAACTCCAGTCTACTTTCGACCCCCTCGCCCTCTGAGCCTCCCTTCACCTCCGACCTTGCCTCACCTTTGACCCCACCACCCTCTGACCCCACCTGCTCTCTGGCCTCTGTAAGCCCCCTGTTTTATCCCTGAACTCACTCCCCTCAACTCCAACTGACCTTGGCTTTCCAGGGCTGGTGGAGGGCAGCTGTGTGGGGAGAAGCAGCCCTGGAACATGTGGACAAGAGAGGCTGTGCCCCCATCCCTCCCCACCTCCTCCCTCTGACTCACCCTCAATAAATAAATTGTTGTCTTGCCATGTTTCTGCTGAGTGCATTTTCCATCTCCCTGTGGGAAGGCCAACAAGCAAGGGCTCCCCCTAAAGGATGGAGATGGGTGCTGAAGGGACATAATCTGGGGAGGAAGAAAGGGGGCACAAATTCTAGAGTCAGACTGGACTATGCCACTAACTGTGTGGTGCTGGGTAAGCACTTGTGCTCTCTGATCCTCGATTTGCTCACCTGTGAAATGGGATTCTATATTTGCCCCCATGATCCCCCCCACACACACCCCAGGAATGTTTGTGAGGATTCGAGGAGCTCTTATGGGCATAGCACTTGTGCTCTCTGATCCTCGATTTGCTCACCTGTAAAATGGGATTGTATATTTGCCCCATGATCCCCCCACACACACCCCAGGAATGTTTGTGAGGATTTGTGGAGCTCTTATGGACACAGTGCCTGACACAAGGAGTGCTTGGCAATGGAGCTGTTGCCATTTTCTGTGGGCATCTAGCAAGTATGGAAAGCAGAAGGGGAGTCTTTAGGGAAGGGCACTGGGGAGATGGCAACCTGGAGCTAGCATCAAGGGACAGTCCTATCAGAATAACAGTCGCTAACACGGATGGAGCACTTCGATGTCCTGACATGCTTCATCTCATGTAACTCCCACACGAACCCTGTAAGATCTGAGCTTTTGTCTTCTTTCCTACCAAGATTTAGAGATACAAAGCATATCCATTAGCTTTTCTTGTGTAACTATCCCCAAAAAGTTTAGGGGCTTAAAACAACAACAGTCATTTATTTAGTTCTCAAATCTGTGATTTGGGCAGGGCTTGGAAAGGCAGCTTGTCTCTGCTCCCCGTGGCATCAGCTAGAGAATCTCAACTGAGGGATTTACTTACTCCGTGGCTTACTCCTATGGCTGCCAAGTTAATGCCAACTGTCGTCTGGGGATGCAACAGGGGCAGGTAGAATGAGGGCATCAGTACCTCTCCATAGTCTGCTTGGGCTTCCTCACAGCAGTCATCCCAGGAGAGCAAGCAAAATGCATTGCATTTTTCTGACCTAGCTTCAGGAGTCACTTGGTGTCCTCCGGACTCCTCAAAGTCATGTCCATGTTCAAGGGAGTGGGCTGTAAACTCTACACACACCTCTGGAGTGCAGAGAGGCAAGATTCCCCGAGAGCATGTGGGGTGGGAGATATAAGGCTGTAGCCATCTTTGGAAATTACAGTTTGGTCCCATGACTATGAAGCAGTGAACGGGGGTTCAAAGCCTGACAGTTTAAGTCTAGAACTCTTATTCCACTTCAGTGTAAAGACCGTTCTAGGCACATTAAGCAGAAAGGAATTTAATATAAGAATTACAACACCATTGGAGGGACTGAGAGAGGGGCTGTAAGCAAGTGATTTTTAAACTTCAGTGTGCAAAAGAATCACCAGGAACACTTTGCTAGCACACAGCTTCCTAGGCCCCACCCTAGAGTTTCTGATTCAGCAGGGCTGGGCCCAAGACCTTGCATTTTTAACAAGTTCCCAGGTGAGGCTGCCTATGAGACCACATTTTGAGTAGCCCGGGAATAGGCCAGCACAGCACAAAGCTGACCACTAGGGAGCTGCTTCCTCTGTTTAGTGAGAAAGGTAAAGAGCCAGCAGGCTGCCATCGGAGCCATTAATTAAGTTCAAGAACACCTCCCAAGACCCACATAGCTGAACATAGGTCCACTGGAGTGCTCTGCAAAAATCAACTAAAATGAATATAAAGTTAATTAAATATCCAGCAGGATTCTCACACACACACACACACACACACACACACACACACACGGAGGAGGGGAGGTCTACCTCACTTCTACCTTCCAATCTCTCAAGCATTTCTAGTTGGTAGAATTTGCATCCAAAACCAGAGCTACAAAGAAGTCTAGGAAATGTGGTTCTTCTCAGCTTCTGCAGTACAAAGAAAGGCAAACCAGAAGGAAGAGAAAGAAGAAAGGAGGGATACTGAGAGCCAATTAACTATTCCCATCACACTCTATGCTGGGACCCAGCCTTCCCCCACCCACCACCACCACCACTGGGCCCCACCACAGGTGGGCAGGAGGCAGGAGAAGTGTGAGAAAGGCAGCCTGGGTATCCAGCCCACAGCAACCCTCATCTGAGCAGGCCCAGCACAGCACTGGGTGGTGGAGCAGACAGTGGACTAGGCCAGTGGTCGGCAAACTGCGGCTCACGAGCCACATGCGGCTCTTTGGCCCCTTGAGTGTGGCTCTTCCACAAAATATTGACTTCTGCGCATGGGCCATGAAGTTTCAATCGCACTGTACATGCGCGCCCACACGTGGTATT